TCATGCTTATAATAGTAGAAAAACAAAGGTTGAAAATATAGTTACAATGTACATAGAAACATAGTTATAGATAGACGTAGGGCTTTTAAATACATTTAGAAATGTCATAAATTTGAAATTCATATTTACATATGAAATAGCTTTAAATAATTATTTAATAAAAGAATATAGTTGAATAAAATGAGAAATTTGGAGTCAATATGAATATGCAGGTTTGAAATACCACTCTTAATTGAAAATGTGGTTGTATTTGGTTAATTTATATAGAATTCATACTGCTTCATATCAATAAAATAGATACAACTCAGGCAATTTACACCCAAAATTTTTTTAACTTTGTGCACAAACGCACTGGACAAACTTATTTATTTTGTAAACTGGTTTCTATTTTATGCATCAATAAAATGATTGTGGCCATAAAAAAACACTGTTAGTAAGCTTAAAAAGAATATTGAAAGAAAAAACATGTAATATAATTACCCAACATATAGGCACTAGTCTTATATAATCAAGTATACTATTTAATGCTCAGTTGAGACAATTACAGAAGTTCAAGATTCCCTCTATCCGGAAAAGAATGAAACTTCAGGATCTAGCTGAGGAAAAGGGACAGGAGATAAGCATCGTATTTTTCCATCCAGAAATTTTCCATGTTCATCTTTGATTTTCAAGTTCTTTACAATGATGAATCAGAAGTAATCCTATAAAAAAACAAGTTCCTAAGATGAAAACTAGATTCTTTAATGTATTGACTAGAGGCAAAAATGATGTAAATATCATGTACTTTGAAAAATTAGTCTTCTCTTATATAACAAACTTTTAAAATTAAAAACAACATATATGGTTGGAGAAATGTAGACTTTCTTACTATTATAATCAATAAAATATATATATTTGCAGCACAAGTAAGCTGTACAAGTTTAAAACAACCACATTATGATCTAATTCTATGTATAGCATGAATAAAAAACTCATTGTTTGCTTACTGATTTTGTATAAAAATCAGGAGGTTTGTAGCACTCGCAGAAATTTTCAAGAATATTTTTCCTTTTCTTCTCAAGGAAGAAATAAAATTTTTCTTTTCTTCGGAAATTGTCCACAAAATTATTATTCTAACTCCAAACTAGCCCAAAGAGAAAATGTGTTAACGTTTGTGTTTCAGTTGGAAATCAAATTGGAAGGGTTCTAGTCTTTATAATTTCAATGATTAATTAACAATCAATGTATAAGCAAGGAACATTCCAGTCCTCAAGTGACATGCCCTTGACAACTATGATGTTTCATTACATATTTTCACATTATGTGTGCAAGATACTCTGTTAACATTATACCAGTTACATACAACTTTATTCAGCTGATAAAATCAAAGAAAATTATGGGTACAACCACAAGTTCAGCAGGCTTGTAGGGCAGATCCAAATTTGGGGGAGATGCTAAGCATCAAAGTACAGTGTCTTCTTAGTCACATGTCAACATCAAATGAATTTCCAATATAAAATGTGCTTTGAGTGAACATTTTCTAAAGCAAAACAAAATTCTGACTAGTGCATTACTTGCACTATAACGTTCATATAAGAGCATTTCTGAAAATAATCAATAAATTTTAAGTAGCAGTTTTGGAAATATTGCCACATTGCTTCCAAATTCAAGGCACTGTAGGGGTGCCTGGGTGGCTCAGTGGGTTAAGCACCTGACTTTGGCTCAGGTCATGATCTCACAGTTTGTGGGTTTGAGCCCTGCGATTTGTCTGTGCTGACAGCTCAGAGCTTGGAGCCTGTTTCAGATTCTGTGTCTCCCTCTCTCTCTGCTCCTCCCCTGCTCGTGCTCTGTCTCTCTCTGTCTCAAAAATAAATAATCATTTAAAAAAATTTAAATTCAAGGCATTGTAAATATTTTGGAGGTGCCGCTTTAAACGTTGTCCTACTCAAAATCCTGGCATAGTTTAGACGTGAAAGTGAGATGTTCTATAAAATCAGAAATCAAGCAAAAGAACTCCAGCATCAGAAGTGGGCATGGGATTCTTATTTGAAGCTAAATGGTCAACTTGATACATTGTCAAGTATGGGTGGAAATAGATTCCTTTTCCAACAAGTGACCATGTATTGTCTCAAAAAATTCCACATTTTAACCCATGTGGTGACCTTAATAGCTGTGACTTTAGGCAACTTACATAACCTCTTGAACCCCTTTTCCCATGGAAAGTAACAAAAGAAGCAACTCAGAACCCACTGTGGTTTAAAGGTCATGGTAAGCACTAACTCTATGGCAACTTTTCCTTCCTTTTAACTATGTGCTAGGTGGTTCCAACCACACAATGTTTCCATTTCTCTAATGACGTTTTCATTGCTATTCTATTTTTTCCCACAGATAAAAATCCTGATGAAGACACTTCCCCCAAGCCCACAATTTTTCTTCCGTCAATTGCTGAAGTAAACCTCCATAAGGCTGGAACATATCTTTCTCTTCTTGAGGAATTTTTCCCTGATGTTATCGAGATAGATTGGAAAGAACAGGATGGCAAAACAATTCTGACGTCCCAACAGGGAAACACCATGAAGACTAAGGACACATACATGAAATACACCTGGCTGACCGTGGGTGAAGAGTCAATGGGCAAAGAACACAAATGTATCGTCAAACACGAGAAGAATAAAAGAAGGTTTGAACAAGAGATTCTGTTTCCTTCAATAAACAAAGGTATGGGCATGTGCATGTGAATATAACCTTCCTGAATTCTTTGTTTCAAAGGGAATACCACACTTTACCTGTCAAGAATTAATGGAAAACAGGGAAAGAGAATTCTTTTCTAAAACTTTTACTTTTTTTCTTTTTTTTAAGAAAACCAAACTTAATGTTTATTTATTTTTGAGAGAGAGAGAGCCCGAGCCTGAGGGGCGGGGAGGGGCAGAGAGCGAGGGAGACACAGAAATCTGAAGAGGCTCCAGGCTCTGAGCTGTCAGCACAGAGCCCAACGCTTGAACTCATGAACCGTGAGATCATGACCTGAGCCGAAGTCGGACATTCAACCGACGGAGCCACCCTGGTGCCCCTAAATGTTTTACTTTTAATGGTACATTAAAGTCCAAATATTTCCCCACAGAATTAAATATGATGGGCTTTGGAAGATATAAAGAAAAAGAAAAAGAAAAACTCACTTAGCCTTTGCTGCTTCAATTTCATCATCCAAAATATGAAGGTCACAGTGACGTTTTTTAGCACCACTGTATGGATTAAATGAAAGAATACATATGAAAACACCTAGCAACCTTGCATACAATAAGTGCTCAAAAAGAGAGTGCGTTTTTGATGATCTCATTGATATGGAAATAAGAAAAATTTCACATCTTTAGGGAATGGTCTACTCAACAGTCAAACTCCCTCTCACCTCAATCTGGTCTACTCAAAGTATCACCTTTAAACAGTTACAGGTGACAAAATGCTGCTCCTTTGATGGTGCTGGATTGCAGCTCAAGTAAAAATGGTGATTTGGCTGCCGAGTTTTTAGTATGGTCTTGAGTGTTCCAGATTTGAATTTTATGTAAGACTGTAAGGTGAAATTTGGTAACTGGAGAGGGGTGAGGTTACATGTACAAACATTCTCCCATTGTCCACAATGGATGTATTTCTACCCCTGGGAAATGCTGCCCAGCAAACACTTCCTGCCGTCCGAGTGTGTGCCAGGCCTGGGAGGGAGGTGGGCCGGACCACTGTCCCCAGGAGGATCACTACAGTAGGGCAAATACACTTTGCCTAATCACCCAGGGTCCCTGGTGATTCAGACATGGTGTCCTGAAGGAGCCCCACTGGTGCAGAGGCTGGTCATATGTGACAATGGGGGCAGAGCTGAATGTGCCCTGGCCTGGCTGTGGGCCAGGAACTCTCTAGACTCAGAAGTCAAGTCCTGAACATGAACATAAAAGACCAGGGCCCCAGAGGGCCCAAAAGAAGGAACCAGTTTGTACTTGCTCTGTGGTTAACAAGCACTTTTTAAGCA